TGCTTCCAGTTTTGGGCTCCACAATTCAAAAAGGATGTGGAGAAGCTTGAGAGAGTCCAGAGAAGAGCCACGTGCATGATCAGAGGTCAGGGAAGCAGACCCTACGATGACAGGCTGAGAGCCCTGGGGCTCTTTAGCCTGAAAAAGTGCAGGCTCAGGGGTGATCTGATGGCCACCTACAAGTTTATCAGGGGTGACCACCAGCATCTGGGGGAACGTTTGTTCACCAGAGCGCCCCAAGGGATGACGAGGTCGAATGGTCACAAACTACTTCAAGATCGTTTCAGGCTGGACATAAGGAAGCATTTCTTTACTGTCCAAGCCCCCAAGGTCTGGAACAGCCTGCCATCGGAGGTGGTTCAAGCACCTACATTGAACACCTTCAAGAGCAAACTGGATGCTCATCTTGCATCCTATGACCCCAGCTGACTTCCTGCCCTTTGGGCAGGGGGCTGGACTCGATGATCTTCTGAGGTCCCTTCCAGCCCTAATGTCTATGAAATCTATGAAATTGTAGACTCCAGGGGTGTAAGCTGTAACCATGCTGGTCTAAGGACATAGGCAGACAAGGTTCTTTGGGTAAGAAAAAGATATTGGATTTACCCAAAGAACGTTATAGATTCCAGACACCCCTGTTAGACTCCCGGTCCCCCTTGGAAATGGCCAGCTCTTAGCTGCCACCCAGTTTTTTGGGGGCACAGACAACCTAGAGCAATTCTTCAGTGGCCAGAAACTTGGGAAGACACAGGAGGGTGGGACAGTTTCAATGTTCAGCCTTTGTATTGTCTGTGTGCCTAGGGGCAATAATATCATGGCACCCCTTGAAAGATGTGCATCTCGGAAGCCTTGGTTCTGTGGGGGTCTGTCCTGGTTATCTAGGTTCCCAGCGTGTCCGCCTGTCCTGGATGCTTGGGCTCCATGTCCACCTGTCCCAAATGCCTGGGTTCCATGCGTGTCTGCTGTTCTGGATACCTGGGCTGTGCATGCACTTGTCCCAGATACCTGGGTTCCACGTGTGGTCCAACTGTCCCAGGTGCTTGGGTTGTGCACATCTGACCCAGAAATCTGGGCTTTGTGTGCATGTGTCCCAGATACCTGGGTTCTATCTGCATCCACCTGTCCTGGACACGTGGGTTCAGTGTGAGCCTGTACTGGGCACCTGGGTTTGGTGTGTCCATCTCTTCTAGGTGTCTGGGTTTCATGTGGGTCTGTCTGTCCCAGATGCCTGGGTCCTGTGTGTGTGTCTGTCCTGGAACCTGGGGTTTGGTGTCCATCTGTCCTAAGCATCTATGTTCTGTGTGCATCTGTCCCGTATACGTGTTCCTCTGCCCTGGACACCTGGGTTCCATGTGTGTGCGTGTGCCCTAGACACTTGCATCCAGGCTCAGGTGAAACAAGGCTTTTGTTTTCAGCCTTACAGACCTCAATCCTAACCCCCACTCAGGCTTCTTCTCCCCTGACACCCATGTCTTCCCATGGCACCACACCATCCGCTCCGAAGGGTACTCACATCATTCTCCGAGGTCCCGCAGATGTTGCAGCACTTGCACTCGATGCACTGCCAGCGGTATGTCTTCACGGCTGCCATCATGACTGGTGTGAACTGCAGGCAGGAAGGGTGCCCTGTGGTGGGGAGCACACGTGAGACACGGGGAAGCAAAGGTGGCCCCAAGATACAAGGCAGCAGGGGCTCTTGGCCCCACAGGGGGGGAATATGGAGAAGAGAGGGCAGGGCAGATTTGGGTGGGATCCAGGGAAGTTGAGTCAGGGAGATGTCTACCATGCCAGCCCCTACTTCCCTCCCAGAGCAGAGAGAAAACCCAGGCATCTGGGCTCCGAGCTCCCCCCTGCTCTAACTCCCCAGACCTTGGATAAAACCCAGGTGTCTGGGCCCTTAGCGTCCCCTGCTCTAACCCACCAGACCTCACTCCCCTCCCAAAACTGGGATAAAACCCAGGTGTTCTGAAGTCTAAGCCCCCTGGTTCCTTCCAGCATGCTGAGGCAAGACAAAGAAAAACGGGCCCCCCCCATAAGACCACACTAACTATCAGCTGATGGCTCTGGGAGAGAAAGAGGCTGCTTTCCCAGAATGCCCCACTGCCACCATCCCCTACACCCTGCCCCAAGAAACATGTGCACACAGAACCCAGGTGTTTGGGACAGACATGGACACAACCCAGGTGATTGGGACACACAAACATGCATGTGTGCACTCTTGTGCACGCGTGCACACACACACACATGGAACTTGGATGTCTCACACGTGCACACACACACAGAGAAGCCAGACATTTTGGGGGGACACACACAGAGTCCAGGACACACACACACACACACACACACACACACGCTACCTGAACGCCCACAGTCTGAGCAGGACACTAGCTCCTCAGGCTGCCCTGTCTTCTTGTTGATCTTGGAGTCGCCCAGGCAGAAGTCACAGTAGTTGTTGGGCAGGGCCAAGCCATCAGGGCCTTTCTTGGCTATCCAAAGAAACCCCAAACAAAGGTCACCAGAGAGACCCCCCGGCCCACAGCAGGGAGGGTGCCAGGTGGTACAAGCCCCCTCTCCTGACCTGCTGCCCCCTCTGGGTTTCACCTGCTCCTGGACCCCATCACTGAAGGGTCAACTGAAGCACAGAGAATTGAGGGAGCCTGTGTGGGACAGCACCAGGTCCCAATGCCAATGTTCGGGCCCTCCTGGCCCCATCATTCTAGTCCAAATCGCTAGAACACAGGCATTGCTACACCCAGCTTTGCTACCATATTTTCTTGCACAGAACACACACATCTTCACCCCAACCAGAGCCAGAGCTCCCAGCCTGCCCTGCCCTAAGCCACTAGCTCCCGCTCCATGCTCAGAAAAGGATGAGAACCCAGATGTGTGGGGCACTCACCAGGAACTAACACTACTTTTAGAGGCCAGGGAGAAAAAACCCTTTGTGTCCTGATTCTTAGCCTTCTCTCCTACCCCTTCCAATATGTTTTTCCCAGCTCAGAAAAGAACCCAGGAGGCCTGGATCTGCCATGCCTGCCCCCCCCCACAGCTTTCTCCAGCTTCCCTGAGGAGAGATCACAGGAGTCTCCAGTCCCTCAACCTCATTCATCCTTCTACATTTCTAACAAGGCCTCTTAAAGCAAATGGGATGACTTGAGATGGTGGGAAACAGGGCTGACCAGGGCAAACTAAAGGACCTGGGGTTACTGGGTCTGGAGAAGAAGGGGGGGGCGGGGGTGTTGCCCCGAATCTTGGAAGGGAAGGCAGATGGAGAATGGAGAAGGACAATTCTCATTGGCTGCCAGGGAACAGGACAAGGGGCGAGATGCTGAGGGGTGGCAAAGAGAAACAGACTGGAGATGGGGATAGGCTTTCTGGCTCCCAACGGGGCATGGATGAGCTGCCTAGAGAGGAGAATCTCCATCATGGAAGGACCCTTGGTTAGGCTAGGTCAGACAGGGCTGAAGCAGGGTCCTGGGCTGAATGGGACCTCCTGCCCTGACTGTCCATAGAATCAGAGAAGTCAGGCTGGAAAAGACCTCCATGGGTCATCTACTCCATCTGGACCAGATGATCTAATGAGATCCCTTCTAGCCTGATTTTCTTATGATCCTACATCCCTCCAGTGTCTCTGAGGAAGGCTTAAACACCCTCTTGACACGTGGAGCAGAAACAGGGGGGTAAGAAGGAGGCAACCAGCCAAGCTCAGAAGCCTGGAAACACTGCCTAGTAAAACACAGACATCTCTGTGCCCGGCTTTGCTACTGTATTTTCTTGTATACAACACACATTTACCCCCCAAACCCAGCCCACCAAGGGCCTTACATTTCTGCTCTTCAGATCGCTGCGAGACAGGAGTTGGGGGCTGCGAGTCTTCCTTGTCCTCGCCCTCCTCCTCGGCCAGGTGGGAGTGAGCGTAGTGGTAGCTCAGCCCCGGGCGGTTCTTGTAGCGCTTCCCGCAGACTGCAAGAGACGGAAGGCACAGGTCTTAGCTTAGCTCCAGGGTTGCATCCCCCAGAAACACCCTCAGCCCCTTCCAAGTCCTTCCTGAGGAAAAGATACAGTGCCATGCACCCCACCCAGGGGAGTCTTCTCTGGACGCTGAGGGTTACACGCTGGCAACGGGGCTTAGCTGGACACAGAGAAGCCGTGGCCTCACCAGCCCCTCCCAGCCTGCCAGGTGGATCTCAGAGGGGTGGGGAAAGTTTCCCTCAAAAGTCCTAGAAACCCAGACAGAGCAACCTGCCTTCTCTTAGGTATAGTCTGTCCCCCCTGTGAAATCCAGGTTCATAATCCAGACCACAGAGGTTCCAGGATCGGGCCCTGCTGGCCACACGAGCTGGGCTGGGGGAGATCAAAGGTCTATCAAAGGACAAGCCAGATTCCCTTTCCATGACTGGCAAGGTTATGATGCCCCTCCGCTGAATCAAACACTGACTTCCCTCAGGCCAGCCTATTAAACCTCTTTCTGATTCAATTGATGAGTGGTCACGATCCAAGGTAAAACTGCCCTGGGGTAAGTTACCCCAATTTAGGAGTCATCTGTTCACATCTACACTAGATCAAGCGACCCAAGCAGTTGCCTTGGAGAGTGAAGTCCAACAGACCAAGCAGTTCATCAGCAGTGGTGTTAGTTTCTGCCCCCGCTGCTTGGAAGATCAGTCCCCACAGCCCCCTGGCCTCTCTCAAGGCTTCTGCGAGGGAAGAGCTTAGGAGGAAGTGGACTGAGACCTGCCAAACTTATGGCACATGCTGGCTACAGCTGGATGCAACCCACCTGGGCTCAATCCCTTTTCCAGAGCAACCACTAAAGGAAGAGAAGGTGGGGAGAATAGGAAACAAGATGGATCTTCCACAACCTTTGAACTACTGGAGCAGAAGCTGTCCAGACAATCATTTATGCCTCTTAACTTACGTTGGATATAACTTACACCGGGACCAGAAGCAGACAGACACAGGGTCATCCCAGGACAGCTGCATGCAGTAGGTGACTGTTACCGTATTCTCACATATAACATGCACCTTTCCCCTCCACCCCCAAAAATCAGGTGCTGGAAACTGGAGTGTACATTATATGCGAGAAATGCAGTAAGAGCAGTTTCTGCTGCTGTGAGCGAAGCTGGAAGTAAACAGGGAGCAGGACAACAAGCAGGCTCCACTCCCTGGCTGTTGCTATGCGGTAACATACAATGAAGAAAGATCTCTTTTTAACTACGTAAGAACCATTTACTAGGTCAAACACTAGGTCCATCTTGCCCAGTCTCCTGTGTCACAATGGATTTTGGACAGGAGAGTGAACTGGGTCCGACCAGGGTTTTTCCCCCACTGTTCCTCTCTTGCTTGTAACCTCCAGCATTTAAGGTCTAGGAAGCTTCGATTCAGGGGTCATGCCCCTCACTCCCGTGCTCAATAGTTACGGATGCCCCTTTCCTCCAAGAATGTGTCCAATCCCTTGGCGAATCTGGCTACACCCTCAGCTTGCACCACATCTGGGGGTAACAAGTTCCACCCTTTAATTCCACCCTGGAGGAAAAAGAATTTCCTGACATTAGGATTAAACCCACGACCTACTAGATTCATTGGGTGACCCCTAGTTCTTGTGTAGAGAGAGAGAGGAAATAGTAAATCCCTATTGATTTTTTCTTTGCTGTTTAGTATTTTCATAGAATCATAGCACATAAGGGTTGGGAAGGACCTCAGGAGGTCACATCTAGTCCAGCCCCCTGCTCAAACCAGGACCAGCCCCAACTACATCATCCGGGCCAAGACTTCATCTACCTGGGTCTTCAAAACCTCCAAGGAGGAGAGTCCACCACCTCTCAGGGTAACCTGTTCCAGGGCTTTACTCCCCTCCGAGTGAGAAAGTTCTTCCTAATATCTAACCTCAACTTCCCTTGCTGAAACTTGAGCCCACTGCTCCTTGTTCTGTCATCTGCCACCACGGAGAACAGTCCAGCTCCAGCCTCTTTGGAGCCCCCCTGCAGGGAGTCGAAGGCTGCTATTAAATCCACCTCCCTCCCCAGTCTTCTCTTCTGCAGACTAAATAAGACCAGCTCCCTCAGCCTCTCCTCACAAGTCATGTCCCCCAGGCCCTGAAACATTTTCATTGCCCTCCAGTGGACTCTCTCCAGTCTGCCCACATCCTTTCTGTAGTGGGGGCCCAAAACTGGACCCAGGACTCCAGATGTGGCCTCACCAGTGCTGAATTGAGGGGAAGAACCACTTTGCTTGATCTGCTGGCAACGCTCAAAATAAAGATTTTGTAAACCTTTAACATGTCCCTCAAGTGTCTCTCTTCCAAGCCAAACAGGCCTGGCCTTGTTAGTCTTTCCTTATGTGGAACCCCCTCCATACCGCTAATTATCCTCGTTGCCCTTCTCTGGTCCTTCTATAACACGGGTGGGCAAAATACAGCCCGCGGGCCAGATGCGGCCCGCCAGGCCATTCTATCCGGCCCACGGGGCCCCTAAAAAATGTAGAAAATTAATATTTATCTGCCCCTGGTGGCCTGTCATGCAGCCCTCAATGGCTTGCCAAAACTCAGCAAGTGGCCCTCCGCCCGAAATAATTGCCCGCCCCGTTCTACAAGTAGTTTCTTCATTCGGCCTTTGCAGAACAAGGGGCATCTACAATTCCAAAGCACGCTGTATATGAGAAGATACGGTACTCTGCCTCACCACTAGTTGGCGGGGCAGCATGAAAGGATGCATTTGCCTTGAGCAAATGGTTGTCTGGTGATGGACATGGATGGGTACAACCTCTGGAGAACAGATGCAAACTCAGACAGCTTCGGAGCCCAAATCCCTTAGGGTTTAAATAAGATTTGGCCTCCAAAACGGTTTTTGAGAGGGGGCTCAGTGCAAAATTTCTACACCAGAAACAGAATCCCAGGCAAAGGAGGGGAAGAGATCGCTCCGTCATCATGGAGCGAGGTGAAATTTTCACCCTGGGTTTTGCCTGCAGGAACAGGAAGCAATGGAGAAAGCAAAGCTGAGGCCGAGAGCTATCACGAGCTTCCTGGTATTTTCACCAAGGGTCATAAATCCCTTGACAAACCCTTCGAGCAGCAGCCAAGTCACACAGTCCTCTTAGCACTGTGTAAACACCCGGGGATAAGCACAAGCCAAGCCCAGCCAGCATAGCTTTCCCAAGGCTGCCAGGTGTCCGGCTGTCGCTCCAGAGAGCCTGGAAGGGGACTCGGGTTCCTGCCTGAGACCCCGCAGCCTGTTTTGGGGGATTTGGGGCAGAATCAGGGCCTGATATTTGCTGTACGATTGCTCCATGCTTCGGAGGCCCCCAGCCTGGCTGGTGCAGGGACACTAACACATGGTAAGAGGGGACAGACAAGCCTTTCGAGCACCTTTTGCTTCTGAGAACAGCCTCAGGGTGGCGGGTGGCTACTGAACCCAGATGGGAAAGGAAAACATCTTGCCCAAGATTGCACAGAAGCAAAGTTTGGAGGAGACTCCAGGTGTCCTACCTCCTTGTTCTTAGCCCGGTCTAGGGCTAACCCCCCTGCTCTGTTGGGCTAACCCCCGGGGCCCCACTCCCGTCCTGGGACTGGAAAAGGAACCTAGGAGCTCCGATTCCTGGACTCACCCCTCGGCTACACACCCCTACTGGGAGGTGGGCTGGTACCCAGGAGTCCTGGCTCTTGGGTTGGAGAACCAGGTGGCATTGTTTTTAACAGGCCCAGCAGGGAGTTAGAGAGGAAACGGCCAGGGGGTGGATGAAAGAGCCAGGGGCTGGATTTCTCTCCACCGTGGCTGCCGCATGACAAGGAACGGGGCAATCGGGCTCCAGGTGGGGCCAACACAAGTGCGAGGCAAGGTGGAAAACTGCAGACACAAGTCTCTCCCGGCAAATGTTTAACAGAGCTCATGGGCCCCAGACGTCCTGACCCTGCACGGTGTTAATGCTTAAGCTCCACCTAAGGCAGGGTTCAGGGGAGAGTGGAAATGCTTGGTTGAGTCCCACAGGGATCTGTGGAGCAGAACGGCAGCAGGAGGGAAGTGTGGGGGACAGAAAGCAATTACAGGCCAATTACAGCATTGTTTACCAGCAGGGCACGTGTCACCCAACCTCCCTGCCACGCGTGACTGGGACAAGGGCCCTGAGAACTTATCCCCCAGTGCCCTGTAACCAATGCTCAACACCCTCCCTCCCACAGCCTACCCAGAGAATCACTCGAGGTCTGACAGGCCTCTGAGAAGGCCTGGCAGGGACCAAAGAGGGAGAGGAATCGCCACCCAGATGCTGGGTTTAAACATAATGTATTTACAAGCATGCCACGCACACCCTTTCTCCAAATTCCGCCCTCCAACACTGGGCTGCATTTCTTAAATGGGGAAGCTGATTTTCTTCACTGGAACAGAAGCATGGAGACACTGCGCTGTAATGGCTGCCACTTCTCTCCAAACCAGCAAACAGCGGGAGCAGAGTCTAGTATTAGCCCTTTCACAGCCGCTTCTAAATCGGCAGTGATTGTGACTGGGCCACAGCTATGAAAGGTTTAACACCGTATGTTTTGCCTGATGCAGTCAGTGAGCTGGCTGCTGTATGCAGTCGGCTCTTGGCCACAACTTTGGAAATCTCTCTTATTTCTATATGCCATCTTTTAAAAACAAAGCACGTGTCCTATTTGGGGCTGCATGGTATATGCAGCAATATGGTATCTTGGAGCTGCAGCAGCAGTTGGCAACCTTTGACTCTTGACTGCCGGAAGGATGAGGTAAGCCAGGCTTGCAGAGAGAGTATACATGCCGGGCCTGTTCCTGTACTGATCCCCTGGGTGTTTCTTATAATCAAAACGCACCCCAACAGGGCTAGAGCACAACTAAGATTTTCCACTTGAGTTTTAAGCTGGTGAAGAAAGGACCAGGACTGACATGCCCAGAACATGGAAGGCCTCCCTTTAGTATTCACAATACAGGCCCTGGCTGGGGGAGATGTCCACCCATACAGGAAAAAAGAGAGGAAAGCCTTTTCTCCAGCGGGCAGTGATATTAGGGGCTATATCTGAGATGACTTAGAGCGGAAGATAAACCAAGGCCCCTTGTACAAGGCATCTCAGTTCAGGCAAACTCTGATCACGGTGAAACGGGAGTTTTCCGTAGCCTGCTCACCTCCTGGCCTCGCTACCCAGAAGACAACAGATTAGAGCCAATCACAGTGGCAGTCCATTAAATTCAGGAGGTTCTATTTTTTTTTTTGGTGCTCTGGTTAGCGACCCCTCTCTCCCCCAACCTCCCTTTTCCCACCCTGCCAAGAGTTTTTAAAACTAACATTTCAGGAAACAAAAGTCAGGAAGGAAAAAATAAAAGAAAATCAAAAAAGCAGACAGAGAATGGACTACCTCGGTCGGGAGGTTTCAAGGTATGCTTTTGTTTGTAACTATCTGAAATACAGAAAGAGAATTGTGAGAAAAAAAGGTGAGACACAACAAAGTCACAGACATGCCAAGATACAGAAAGCAGAGTGATTTCAAAAAGGGGAGGAAAAGGAGGGGGGATTATATATATCTACCACTTGGACAAAGAACTCGTGCCAAATTCTCACAGGACAGGAGAAAGGAGAGAGAAAAGTAATTTCAAAAACTCAGAGGAGTTCTAAGCCCACTTGGTTAATTTCTTTTGCCAATTTCCAAAGTCGGGAAACCGGATGGGGCCATTTACAGTTTTCTAGTGAGGGTTCCCATGAGGAGGCAGGAAGAGGAGAGGACATTCTAAGAGAGGAAGCACGGACAGTCTCAGGGGAGAATCAGAGAAGGACAGTAACATATAACAGGGCCCTTGTGGAGAAACCCCCTCTGGTTGTTCTAGGCACACACGCAACGGGACTTGTTTCATAGGCACCTGTTAGCTGAAGTGGAGGTAACGGGATGAGGTCTGAGCTGAGGTTAGCCGCAAGGACAAAAGGGATCACCATATTCTGTGGCCAGGGCATGGGCTGAAAGCCCTCAGGGAGACCATAAGCAAAAACCAACGATGCTATAAGGCTACAAACAGATGTCACATTGGTGCCGGGATAAACTGTTTTACCTCGGGACAACGTGCAATCATTTGGATGCCTGTATCCGCTGTCCCGGGTTAAATCCTCAAAAGGCTCGAGGAATAAGGAATACCCACAGTTTATCCCAGGACACTGCAAAGAGTGTCTGAACAGTTATCCCAGGATTGCATCGATCAATCCATGGTAGAAAAGCAGCAGTGCCTTCAGCCACTCGCTAAGCCCTGATCAGAAGGGAGACGTGGGTACACACCAATCCCAGGATCTTTCTGTTCCAGGACAGACATGGGCACAATTTGTCCAGGGACAAATGCAACATCTATTCCTCAAAGACAGGACAGAACTGATCCCTACAAGGGCCTGAGAAAGCGGGTGGGGAACGAATTCCACGAAGCCTGCTTCAGAGTGGGAGCTGACTCACGCTCCAAATGCCAGGGGAAGGAGGGGCTGGAGCTTTCCCCAGCTGATCTCCAGGCCCAGAAGTGGGGATAGTGGGAGCATGATCCCAAGTTTGCTCTGTGACGCAGTCAGAAAGCTGCTGTCACCCTTCCATTTCAGCTACCAGCTTCTTGTAGGAACATGGCAAAGCGCCACAGGCTTGCAAGACAGACCAGATCACAGGGAGGGCATCCCCTGAATGTTCGCTATGGCCTTGGGCTCCTTGCTTAGCAAAGGATCTGTTTGAAATGAAGACCCCTGCCCCCAGTGCCAGATTTTGCTTACCTCCTCCCAGATGGTGGGAGGAAAAATGAGCCATGGAGTCACTGCCCAAAGCAGATGAGATCAATCTGCCTAGGGCTGGGACTCTGGAAGCAACCAGGACATGGAAACAAGCTTAAAAACACCTCGGTCTCAGATTCACACCTTTCTTTATGGATGGCTGTCAGATCCCTACAAAAACAAAATCCCCATCTCACCCCCATCCTTCCCAGAACACGGCCCCCAGCCCCCATCTGGCTCCAACAGCAAACACAAATCAAGACAACGCAGGGTCTAAGGCATCACAGGGCACCACACAGCAGCTTTGGTACTCACTGTCACATGCATAAGGCTTATCTCGGTCTTCCAAGATGGCGGCATCCAGCTTTTTCCGAGCACCCCCAACGCCTTTGCCCTGGAACGAGAAAACATCTCCATTAAGTCATGCCTCTGACTCCGAGGCAGGAGCTCAGGGCTTCAGCAAAGGAATTCATCCTGCGTGGGAACACTGCGAGCCACCCAGAAGAGGCCAACTCTACTGAGTAGACTAAGCAGATCAGGGAGTTACAGCAGACCACAAGCTGAATAGGAGCTAACAGGGTTCTCTTGTTGCAAACAAAAGGCCAACCACATCCTGGGTTGCTTTAACAGGAGTGTCACTGGCAAATCAAAGGAAGTGATTCTTCCTCTCCTTTCAACACTGGAGAGACTGATGTCCAATTCTGGGCCCTGCACTTCAAAGAGGATGCAGACAGACTGGAAAAAGTCCAATGCAAAGTAACAAAAATCAGAGGCCTGGGAGGCAGGGGAAAGGCTGGAAGAGCTTGGAGGACTGAGCCTGAACAAGAGACGATGGAGGGAAGCAGGACTGATGAGGAAAGGCTGAAACAACTAGGGTTAGTCTGGAGACGAGAAGACTGAGGGATTTGATGACAGGCTTCAAATCCCCGGAAGGCAGTGACAGAGCACGGGCTTTCCTCTGTGGCCAGAGGGGACAGGACTAGGAGCAGCAGGTCTCAGGCTGCAGCAGGGGAAACAGACTAGAGAGGAGGAGGAACTTTCTGACTCTGAGGGTGGTCAAGCATTGGAATAGGCTGCCCAGAGATGCTGCAGACTCTCCAACCTTGGGAATTTTCAAGAGGATGGACAGAAACTTGGCCTGGGAGGTTTAGTTAGGGATGATCCTGCCTCGAGCAGGCAGCTGGGCTAGATGTGACCTTGAGAAATCACTTCCAGCTGACTTTCCTATGACCCTAGAAATCAATTGAATGGCGCTCCCTTGTGGTCAGTGTTTCCAATAACCTACTGAAGCTGGGTATCGTAGAATCATAGAAAACGAGGGCTGGAAGGGACCTCAGGAGGTCACATCTAGGCCAAACCCCTGCTCCAAGCAGGACCGGCCCCAACTACATCATCCCAGCCAGGACTCTGTCTACCCAAGTCTTCAAAACCTCCAAGCACAGAAATTATACCACCTCTCTAGGTAACCTGTTCCAATGCTTCACCACCCCCCCAGTGAGAAGTTTTTCCTAATGTGTAACCTCAACTTCCCTTGCTGCAACTTGAGCCCACTGCTCCTTGTTCTGGCACCTGCCACCACTCAAAACAGTCCAGCTCCAACCTCTTTGGATCCACCCTACAGGGAGCTGAAGGCTGCTATTCAATCCCCGCTGAGTCTTCTCTTCTCCAGACTAAATAAGCCATTCCCTCAGCCTCTCCTCACCAGTCCTGTGCCCCAGCTCCCTAACCAGCTTCACTGCCCTCTGATGGACCCTCTGCAATCTGCCCACATCCTGTCTGTAGTGTGGGGCCCCAAACTGGACCCAGGACTCCAGATGTGGCCTCCCCAGTGCCCAATAGAGGGGAAGAATCACTTTCCTCCATTTGATGTCAAGGCTCCTACTCATGCAGCCTAGTATGCCATTAGCCCTCTTCACAACAAGGGCACACCACTGGCTCATCTTCAGCTTATTGCCCATTGCAACTCCCAGGTCCTTTTCTGCAGAGCTGCCGCTTAGCCAGTCAGTCCCATGCACATGTACAGAATGGGGACTGTCCCACCCTAAACGCAGGATTTTGCACTTGTCCTTATTGAACTTCATGAGATTTCTCCTGCCAGAAGCTAACAGCAGGGTCTACGATGTCTCCTAGCACTATTTTCTTCCCTGAAGACGCCACATGCTTATAGGAAGGCAGCAGGTGCTGGAGAATTAGCTACACCCCTCGACCACTTGCTCTGAGTCTTGATCGCAAGATATACAGGCTCCTTATTTCAAGCTCGTCAGAGGCAAGGTTTTTGGGGGGGTGATGTCTCCCCCACCCATGCATCGGGATAGACGAAGGACAGCTTGCAAATAAAGTGCACTGTTCTTCAGGTCTAGCTTGCTTCCTAGCCAGGGTGGGCCAGCGGCAATGGGCACTGGCATACGGAAGAAAATGGTAAACTGCGTTCAGCCCAACTGCTGGGCTGAGGCCACAATAATGTTACAGAAACCATGGAAAAGCTCAGCGGGTTCCCACAATGAACCATACACCTCAGAGGATGCAAAGGCTCATGGGAAATGGATTTCAACCAGGGTAAAAGATCAGGGTGACACTAGCCTTCCACATGACACTTCCCAGAAGGCAGAGCTCCTCTGAGGGGCAACACGATTGGTTATTGCTAGGGACCTACTTAAATTGCCATTTTACAATTTTCACAGAAATAGTGAAAAACAGCAATCTCCACAAAAAATGGCACTGGCTACAATTTCCCACAGAATTAACCCAAAAACAATTCTTACCAGAATATGAAGATTTACATTTAAATTTAATACTTAGATTTATAATAATGCATAAATGTATATGATATTTCTGTGGAACTGGCTATTTAATTATGAGGTTTTTGCCTTTTGGCCAATCAGCAACAAGGATTGGACCAGCAGGGCCCCTCTGCCAATCAGTGGCAAGAGGCAAGGCCACAAAATGCCCACGAAATCAGCTCTGCGCACTGCAAGCAAGCCACAAAAAACCCTTCGTCTTGCCATGATTTAAGTAGGTCCCTAGTTATTGCTTTGCTATCTTTGGCGAATGCTTTTTCCCCCTCTCACCTCAGCTGCCAGGTGTTACCTTAGCTTTGCCCTTGCCCCGTCGCTTTGGTGTATCCTCCTCATAGTCCTCGTCATCCAGATCATCCAGGAAGTCGTCCGGTTCAAGGATCCGCTGGAAAAAGAACAGAGGATTAGAGTCGCTGGCTGCACCAAAAGGGATAATCCAGCTAAGGAGCAAGACTGCGATGCAGGATATCATGACTGAGCTCTGCTACAAATCCTGGGCGTGTCTTTCAGTGCATATCCTGGTTTAACAGGGACTTAACATGTCTAACTTGAAGTAAGCAAGCAGAGTTTTATTCTTAATCACTCCAGACCATCGAACGCCACCACAGCTGGGAAACGGCAAGGTGGAACAGGATGCCAGAGCTTCTGGGCCATAATCAGGGAAGATTTTTACAAGACAGGAGAAAAATATCATATTTTCAAATATATACATGCACCCAAATAAGACATGCACCTTTTTGGGAAGGGAAATCTTTTAACATACTGTATTTATAAGCATACCACACACATGCTTTCCCCAAAAATCCACCCTTCAAAATTGGGGCGCACGTCATATGTGGGGAAAGATTTTCTTCACTGGCATAGAAGCATGAAGACACTGTGCTGTAATGTAAAGATTTTCCTTGTTCCCTTTTCCTGCTCCGTTCCCTGACCCCACTTTGCTCAGTTTTAACCCTTTCATAACTGAACTGTCAGCAGCTCTCGGCAGCCCTAACCTTCCATGCAGCTGCTAATCAGCAACTGTGTTCCACACCAGAAGTGGCCACATTTGGGGGCAAAAGGTTGCCACTTCAAACAGGTGCAGCCCTGTAGGAAAAGAACAAGTTGTATCAACTTGGCTGGGTGCAAAACATTATCACAGATAAAGCCTCGGAGCTGGGAGCCCCCCAAAATATTTCACATTAGGCTACACAAATAATGTAGCAGAAACGTAAACCTGTTTCCCCATAAAATATGGCTGATGGAGCTAACCTGTTAACATCTGGGGTGAACTCTGTTACCCTACCCACAAGCCTCAGGGACTGATCAACCACTGTGTCAAACCGCTGTGAACTGAACCAGTGCTCACAGGTGACAAATAAAAGCAGTAACTCAAGTGACAGGGTTGGAGGCGAGAGGTAAGAAAGAGGAATTCAAAATTCATCGCCCACCTGGGTGGGAGAAGGAATAGAAAGAGCGAACGGCAGTAGAATAGAAAGTGATTCCCCATTACCTCAACCCGGACAAAGCATGATGAAAATCCCTAATTGCTTCTTCCAAAGGCCCCTTTATTCACTGTTATCAAAGGCATGTCAGCAGCAAAGCATAATGAAGCGGCTGAGTGATTTGTATCCAATTGTAAGCGGCTGTTCCCTTGGTTATTAAAAAGGCTGGATAATTTGCCTGCATTCGAGACACATCAAAGGGAGTTGTGCACCTAAATACCTCGGAAACCACCACTGCTCATCTCCTTGGAGCACAGACTGGCTTTCCAGTCTATTCCCCAATGTCACTTACTGTGCATTCTTGCATTCAACACAGCCCAGAATATAACACACACATTGCTTTTAAAAGACAAAATGACAAGAGAAAGATCTTTCTTAACAATAAGTAACGGAGTAGTAGCAGCAGCAGCTAGGGAGCAGAGACTGCTCAGTGTTCAGCTCTTATCTTATTTCTCACACATCACAGAATCATAGAAGTTAGGCTGGAAGGGATTTTTATAGACATCTTCTAGTCCATCTAGTGGCTGGACTAGATGGCCTTGTGAGATCTTTTCCAGCCTGATTTTCCTGATCCTACATCCCTGGCTGGCATAAATCACAGAGAAATGGGGCTGGAAAAGAACTCCAGAGAACGCATCTAGTACAACCCCCTGTCTGAAGCAGGATCATCCTTATTCAAACCATCCTCTACAAATCCATAATCTAATCTCTTCATAAAATTACTGTCAACCCTGACACAACACAAGACATCACACCTAAACCTGTCACAGGTAAAGCAAAGGGACTACGGCGGCCAACATCTTGCTTCTGTAAATGTAATATAAGTTCAAGAGATCCAAATTAGAGGCAAACACCCACTCCTCCAGGGGATAAAATTCCTTCCTGACCCCAAATACAGCATCAGTCTGACCCTGAGTGGACAGGCAAGACCCTCTAGCCAGAAACCAGTAATGTGCACCAGATTTTGGGGGGGAAAGTATATGTTGTATGCATGATAATACAGTATCTAAATGACACCCCTGATTAACAGAGGGAGGGGCTTTATCCTGCTTCAATGCCCCGCTGTACCTTCCGCGCACGGCTGTTGGTAACAGGGAACTCAGTGAGGCTGTCGTCATCAAGGCGAGCATCCGGCAGGGTGCGTTTCTCCAGGGGGTCAGTCCTCAGGAGAGCCTCCAGGCTGCTGCCATCTTGGGAGATAAGCCCTTCTTTCTTTAAGGTCTGATCTGTGTCTGCAGAGATGAGGTAAAGGGTAAGTGCTGCCCCAATCCCCCTTCCCATGTCTGACCTGCTGCTCTGCTTTCTGCTCCCTGCCCTACTAGCTGCTTTGTTCCTTACTCGCTTCCCAGAAACTTGCCCTTCTCACTCACTGAGAGCTAAGCTACTGCCGTTTCATTTCCACTTACCACAGGGTAAAAGCAGGCAAACGGGAAGTTACTGCAAGTAGCTGAGGCTGAGTAAAGCCCCATCCCTTTTTACCTTGTTCACAAGTCCACACTTTAAGCCCATGCATTCAGCTGGGGGGCTTAGAGCCAGCCTCTCAGCTGGTTATGGGATCATAGCATCATAAGAAAGTAGGGCTGGATGGAACCTCACAAGTTTATCTCGTCAAGACAGGTTCAGCCCTGACTAAGCCATTGCAGCCAAGTGTGTCTAACCTGCTCTTGAAAACTTCCAAGGATAGAGACTCCACAACTTCTCTCGGCAGCCTGTTTCAATGCTTTGCCACACATAGTCAGAAAGTTCCACCTAATCTCCAGCCTAAATTTCCTCTGCTGCAGCTTGCGGCCATTGCTTCTAGTCCTGTTCCCTACAGCCACAGCAAAAAGCCCATCTCCATCCTCTCTATAATCATCCTTCAGGGATTTGAGGACTGTGATCCAATCCTCTTCTCCAGGTTAACCCTAGTTCCTTCAGCCTTTCCTCATAAGTCTTGCCTCCCAAGTCTCTGATCATTTTTATTGCCCTGAGCTGGACTCTGGGCAAGAAAACTGATTTATCTTAGCTCAGATTCTGGAATTTTCACAGATGCCAACCAAGGAGTCATGGGGGACAAGGAAGAGTGAGGGGAAGCTGCAGAACCCCATTTTATTCCTGTTTTCCCCTAAAAACAGGCTTGTGTGGCATAAGGGCAGCTCCCTCCAGGCTCCCTCCCATCCCCATGCTCCTGTCAGGGTCTCAAGCATCTCCCTGCTGGGACAGCCCAGATGCACTGAGTTACAGGCTCAACCAGCCAAGCTCTGACTGTATAGGGCTCAGTCACAAGTTATGATACCCAGAACTGATGTTTCCCAGTCCCACTAGTAACTGGGACATCTGCAGGAAGGCCAGAGAGACTAGATTTGACCACACAGTGCCTATGGAAGCAACATGGGTGAGGCTACATCCCTGAGAGCAGAGGCAGGATGGTCTGGGTGTGATGGCATGATGACATGCCGCGTGGGTGGACAGAGTGTTACCTGGTTTGATGGAAGGGAAGGAGAGCCTGGGGTCCTCGGGAGGGTGAGAGCGGCGCTTTTTCCGCCAGCGACGTGCCGGGTATGAGTACAGCTGGCCAGCAGCTAAGCCTGTCAAAAGGGAAAGGAAGAGGGGTGGATACAGGCTCATAGACAGGTCCAGCATGAGATAAACACTCACTGAGAACCCTGGGGGAATCTAGTTGCGGGATCAGGTCCCCCCCCGCAACAGCAAGATTCCACTGGAGGAGGCAGAAAGAGAGAAAGAGAAAGAACTACAGATAGGCCCTGCCTTGACAGTCTGAGCCCACGGAGCAGGAGGGGCAAACTGAGGCACAGACCATCTATTTGACTTGCAATACACAAGTCAGAGCTGAGAACAGAACCCAGGTGTCCTAGCACCCAAACCACTTCTGCAAAACAGAAGCACCAACTGCTGAGAATGGTGATAGGCATTCATGGATGTGGGAGACAGAGCGAGAGAGGCACAGCAAACCCCTGGACAAGAAGGGGCAGCTGAGTGCCCACACCCTAACTTCTGCTTTGAGGAGCTGTGATCAAGAGAGTCTGATGCCATGGTCAACCAACAAACCCAGGAGGCCTGGAAAAAACACCCAGTGCCCTGGCATCCATCAGGCAAGCGATGAACAAAGACTTCTGCAAAACTTTGCTCTTGTGGATGCTGGCATTGAAAGAACATCCAGGCCATGCAATGGACACCCTGCACTCAGTACTGTGCAATCACAGAGCAAGACGGTCCCAGCCTCACTTTACCCAGCTCTTTCAACTAGCTCGCACCCAAGTCTGGCTTTGCTTTGCCCGTGGCAATCTGGCGTGATGACTGATGTGGTCTGGTGGCTCCCTCATGCTCTCCCATCCATCATCTCAGGCTTCGTATTTATGTAGAGAGTTTGGAAACCAGAGTCAAGTGACCTGTTGTAGCGCATGTGGACTCCCCTAGCTCATTTAACCCAGGGGTAGCAGCTGGTCTGATGCAAAGAACTCGCTGCCACCTAGTGGCCAGGTACTATAATAGCACCTACTGCAGCTCTGCTCTTTGCTGTGAGCTAATTTGACCCCAGATTAAAATCTGGGATAAATTACCATATTCACTCACATACCACACGTACCCCACCCCAAAAAAACCAAACAAACAGCCTTCCAAAAATCAGTATGCAAGACTTAAACAGGTAAGCTGATTTTTCTTCACCAGAACAGAAGCAGGGAAGAATAGAAGCATGAAGGCACCGTGCTTCAAGATGGCCACGAGCTTCTCTCTCCCTGCCAGCAAGGAGGAGGGGTGCAGTGTGGCGTTAACCCTTTGGTAGCTGCTCTCAAATTGGAGGCAGTAAGCCAAAACCAATTTAAGAACAGCTGGGAAAGCAAGAGGGGACTGGTGTGACCTCTTGCTGGCAGCGATAGAGAGAAGCTGGCAGCCATGATGAAGCACAGTGTCTTCATAATAAAGCCAGCTCCAGGTCACAACTCTGGAAAAACTGAAGCAGGGGGCAATACCAGGGACTCTAGGAGGCCTCGCTGCAAGATAGCACCAGGAAAGAGCACTCACCTGGGCCTCGATGACGCTTCTCCATCCAGATGTAGCAGTTACTCTGCGCCACCCCTGTCTGCGAGTCCAGGAAGGGGAGTCGGACACTCCTCTCTGCACACAGCCTAGCATTGTAGTTGTGGCACTGCTCCATCGCATCCTTGTAGTACTGCTCTCCCAGGCTGTAGACAGAAAGAGCAGAGGAAACCCAGCATTAGCTACAGCCACAGACTTACCCCTCGAGAGTTTGGAGCTACACCATAAGAAGTACCACACTAGGTCAGACCAATGGCCTTTCTAGCCCAGTGTCCCATCTCTGACAGTGGCTGGAATGGATGCTTTAGAGCAGGGGCACTCCCCATAGGTCCTGAAATTTGGTGGCTGAGAAGCAGTGGGAGCATTAATGATTGCTTTCCTACTGCCAAGTGTCCAGACCAGCAGGCCAAATAATATAGCCTGGTGCACTAAATCAACCCGGCGCGTGGCTGGATCAGGGGGCATGGTGTAGTGCCCAATCACACCTGTGGACCAACTCCACACAGGATCCAAGCTGTGGACCTACTCGTGCCACTTATGTGGCTAGAAAATCGGATACCACCACTTTAGGAGGGATAGCGTATGAACAAGGCATGTCTAGAGTGATCCAGCCCTCCATTGATGCTGACTTCATGAAGGAACATCTTGAGAAGCTGGATACCTTTAAGGCAGCCGGCCCTGACAATCTTCACCCCAAGGTACTCAAGGAGCTGGCGAGCATCACAGCCCAGCCTCTAGCACGAATCTTTGAAAACTCTTGGCGCTCTGGTGTAGTGCCCGAAGACTGGAAGAAGGCCAATGTGGTGCCTATCTTCAAGAAAGGGAGGAAAGTGGATCCGGCTAACTATAGGCCCATTAGCCTGACTTCTACCCGGGGAAGATCTTAGAAAAGTTTATTAAAGAGGCCATCCTTAATGGACTGGCCAACGCCAACATCTTAAGGGGTAGCCAGCACGGGTTTGTTGCGGGTAGGTCTTGCTTGACCAATCTCATTTCCTTCTACGACCAGGTGACCTATCACCTGGACAAAGGAGAAGAGATTGATGTCATATATCTTGACTTCAAAAAAGCCTTCAATCTGGTTTCCCATGATCACCTCTTAGAGAAACTGGCCAATTGTCGCCTTGGGTCCTCCACGATCCACTGGCTGGAAAACTGGCTCCGGGGTCGGACCCAGAGGGTAGTAATTGATGGAAGTCACTCATCGTGGTGTCCTGTGACCAGTGGGGTCCCCCAAGGCTCTGTCCTTGGACCCATACTGTTCAACATCTTCATTAATGATGTGGACACTGGAGTCAGAAGCGGACTGGCCAAGTT